TTCCAATGCTGCTTCTTCACCAGGGATGTGTTCTGGGTCTGTATCCTGCTCCCTTGTTTCTACCCCTTTATCCTGCTGCTTTTTGTGGACTGTGATGGTCTGTTTTCTCCGAGGCATCGTGGCATTGTTGTATTTAGATCTCTGTTAACTATTTGTGAAGAGCAGCCAAGGGTGATTCAGGGTCTTTTTGGTGGTTTTTTTATTACTGGCCCATTGGTGGAGAAGGAGGAAGTGGCTCTCGCTCAGTAAATGAAGTTGCAGGAGGTATGGGTGTAGTTGTGTTTTATGGGGACTGTTGCTGTGTCCCACTCAGTTAGACAAAAATTACAATGGAATAAAGATCAACAAACGAAAAGCACGTGGACAAAAAACACACTGTGTAATCACACAGGAAGAGTAACCAAAAAAAGGAAAAGGTAAAAAGAAGAAGAAAACCTTCAATATCTGGGGATAGGGCACTAAGAGAAAAAAGGTAGAGAAGGAGAATAATGAAGAAAACAATGGGGAAAGTGCAGAATGAAAAACAAGCAATGGGGTTAACCACGAGATAAAAGGGGGAAAAAAATTTTAAAAAAATTTTTTCAACTAGGAACAGGGAAAAGAAAAAAAGCTGAAAACTAGGATGTGGGAGGGGAAGAATAAGAATAATAGTAAAAAGGACAAAAGTATTAATAATAATAGTTGTTTTAAAACAGACAAGTACAAGCAAACTTATCACCAGAAAAAAGAAAGCAAAAAAGAAAAAATAAATAAAAAAAGAGAAAAAGAAATCGGTGGAGGACAGGGCAGGGCACCCAGACTCCATCCGAGCCCACAGACTATGATGGAGTTCCTGTAGGCCCAGAAGGTAGGTGGAAGTGGGGGATGGCTGCACCTCCATTCACCAAGCGAGTGTGGGGTATAGAGTAACGAGGAATGTCCCACCTTTTCATCTTGCGTCTGGAATGTCCTTGGGGTTGCTGACAAGCAGAAACTGTTCTTAAGCCCTTGAAATCTGCAAGAGCGCTGTCTTTTTAAATATCCAAAATGGTCAAGCCACTTGTGAACATTCAAAATGGCAGCGTCCTCTGGACAGGCAAAAGTCCACAGCTCAGCCCGCTTTTCTCTTCACCTTCTCGGTTTATTCCCCAGCCACCAGAGCAGTCCTCTGTGCAGTCCCTGGCTAGCAGGGCTGATTTTTAGGTTAATTCTTGGATCCTACCTCCACTCG